GAATAGAAAGTCTTTGACTTGTGAATATAATTTGTTGACATTCAGCAGTGTTACATAACAGAACTGAAGAGTAAAATACAGGTCCAAGCTGTGATTTTGATTGTTCACCTCCAAGAGTAAGTATATAGAATAGCAAGAGTCCGAATATTCGTATTTTCCATGCAGGCAAACGAAATGCAAAGTACTACCACCAGATAGGGGGCGCCCTATTAAAATTCGAATACTGTAGTCTGAAATTCGAACATGTGTTGCACGTTCTTTTGAAATGCGCCCTCTATTTTGTGGTCATACTTTTTGAGAATGGGATTCTAATTCAAAGAACCTCGACAGTAGAACCTCTTGCAATTTTATTATACTCTTCCTGCATAGTTTAACCCTGAAAATATTCTTTTATTTTAATTTAAATTTAGTAAGAGCACTCCATATTTTAATAATAGTTATTCTTTTAGAATATCAAGCAAACCATGTGAATTATATAGTTTCTACAAGAACTGACCATAATTGTATATTTTTTTAATATTTATTGATACATTTTTCTAACAGTGTGATTACTTTTATAAAGATTAAGTTTATTTAGTGACTTGGTGGATGGCGTGTGCTAAGTAGGCATTGTTTGACGATGAAATTCCAGCGACAGATATACGTCCATCTTTAGTTAAATAAACAGAAAATTCCTTGGTAATACGTTCCACCTTAAAATCAAACATAAGTATTAATTATAAATACATAAACAATATATCAACATGTATACAAACTTTTGTCACAATACTGATTATAAATATTTCAGTTACCGTACTTGCGCGAATAAGCACCCGGGCGCTTAAAATATTTATTGCACTTTCTGAGGGGCGCTTATTCGAATGAGGCGCTTATTTAAACGGGGCGCTTATGAAAACGGAGTGGAAATTGAGGGGGTACTTATAGAAATTATTAAATTCAAGAGGCACTTTTTGAATGAAAAAATGTGTGAATGTGTGAATATTTACATAACAGCAAAATAGCAGATGCAATTAATGGTGGTGAGTAGTGGTTAGCTTGTTGGACATTGGCCAATTGAGATTAGCATGGACATTGGCCAATTGAGATTAGCAGGATGGCAGGATCATTGTATTTTTTCTTGAAAACTTGGATAAGAATGTGCTGAAGGTCGGAACAATAAAAAGAGGAGTAGGACTAGGCATAGACAAATATGTAAAAAGAGTAAAGTTGGAAATATACTGTCTGTCCAAGGGATCGTTTGCTCTCATCTGTCCAAGAGAAATATCCTCATTTTGATATTGACCGAAGAAGAATGTGTTTCCACTCTACAGCTCAAATCATGCCAACAACCACAATCCCAGGATTGATTGATTATTGACTTGCTAAAAAGAAAATCTTATGAGAAAGGGGGGAGGGCGCGTATTCAAATTAGAAGGGGCGGTTATTCAAAAGGGGCACTTATTCAAAAGGGGCGCTTATTTGCGCGAGTACGGTACGTAGCGTATTAATATTTACTATTACTATACATTTTGAGTAAATTTTTCTATGCAATTGACTTTATTTTTTTTGGGTCTAATCATGACAAAAAGCAGGACATCTCACCTGTTCAGGTTTGAGGCCTGTGAAGCAGAACATTCCGATCTGATCGGTAACGTGTGACCAATCAAGCGTGGAGCCTTCCTTCTTTAGGTTAGCAACCAGCATTTCACGCATATTGATGATACGGTCAGCCATGTGTTTCACATCAACAAGCCTATTATAAAAAGAAATAAAATACCATCAAATAATGAATGATTATCTTTAAAAATCTGGCCCTGGCAGTTTAAGGAAGAAAATGGACCTAATGATTCAAAAATAAATACTGTATGTTTGTTCGTAATTCATTAAAGTTCATGGGAATGGTTTTTAATATGGTGGCACACTTTAAACCTTAGAGAGAAGAACTAGGAAAAACTGTTAGGTAGTTAACATGTTGAACAAGGTCATAAAGGACAGGCATGGACTCCATTAAGGTGGGGGGGGAGGAGGGAGTGTCTTTGACCTCATCAATTGTTACATTTATATGAATATGTTTGCTACAATTTGATTACACTACAAGTTAAAGTGTACAAATAGAGTTTTACTTATTGAGAACAATGATAATTTGATCTTGGCCATGATGTTTTATGTTGGCTGCATGGCATAATCCTGTCAATTGCTCCAGACTTAAATCGGATAGTGTTGTCACCAGAGGGGGAAAGGGTCTAAGACCCTGTTGGACAGGTAAAGCCCACCCCCCTCATCAGACACAACACATTAGACCAACAACATTCCTCTCGAACCACCTTGCCTACTAAAGTAACCAATCAAATCAGCGCGAGTGTGAATGCACCTAAATTAGGTTTATCAAAACAGTGTGAAAGCAGCAAAAGTAGGTTTATCAAAGCAGTGTGTATGCAATTAATTTTAATTGCTACCATCCACAATCTGGCAAACATAAAACACTTGGCTAGGTTGCAATATTAACATATATAAATTTTATGTTAAGTAGACTTCACAATCCCATATTGTGTGATATTACCAGTAAATTTCACACAATATGGATGTATAAAGTACTGTAGATTTTACACTTTCATAATATTGTGTGAAATTTACTGGTAATAATCAAAATCAGTAAATCACTTAATATTGCCAGTTTGAATTAGAGGAAAGATACGTTCTGGTGTGAAAACACACGTGTTGCCCACTTACATAAATATATTATGTTACCTCCTAATAAAAATAATACTACTAATATGACCCTTGGGTTAAGTGAAGAAGCCAGGTTGCAAATTAATAAAAATAAAATAAAGAAAAAAATAATCATTATTGCAGAGGAAACAGCAGAGGTCCCAAGTTTGAAATCGAAACGGCTTCCCACACTCCTGCAAAAAAGGCAAAAATATCCCAGAAAACAACGCACCTTCCGCAAATTCATAATATTTACATGTTTTTACAACTTTCAATTAATTCACGGAAGTAAGTGCCAGTGGATAAATACAGTTAGATATGTTAAGAAAACCCATTTAAGTGACTTCTTTAAACTTGGGACCCCTGGAAGATATAAAGGAAATAAAAAATTCTAAATACGGCCAGTATAAAAAAACAGAAAGAACACGGGTAAACAAAAGCCTCCCTCAGCATTGATCCTGTCAGAAATCAAATTGATTGTTGCCTCAACTTCAACTAAACCATGAAATAAATTTAATAGCAGAAATTAGTAAAATGCTTACCATTCTTTACGGAGATCTGGTGTGTTTAATATGGTAGCTGCTATACGGGCTCCGTGCACCGGTGGGTTGGAGTAGATTGGACGAATTGTGATCTTCACCTGAGACTCGACACGCTTCATCTCCTCCTCCGTTTCGCAGACAATTGTGAATGCGCCTGCTCGCTCACCTATGGATTTGAGTCGCATGTCAATATTAATACATGGAATGCATGATTCAGTTTCAAAACTAAATTTCTAACATTAATAATATCCATGATAGCTGATGATGTGCTAATGCGCAAAAGAAGTCATACCGTGCAGCAGTTAATACATTGGAGTTTCGCTCACGGTATCGTCCGTTCGAGACCGACGCTGGTCACACTAATTGTGTCCTATGTCAAAGACACTATACCTGGCAAATTTCAGAGAGGATTTATCTGTCAAAGCTTAACACTCTGACCACCAGGGGTTTAAACAAAATAGCATCAGTCACCCCCAAAATTTTTACCAAATTTTAACACTTTTGTAAAGGTAAAATGAAAATGACTCACTTTTTGAGATTTATGCAATTTTGCACAACGAAGCTGAGATAATTGCGATTTCGTGAAAGCAAATCTATACTGCTCTACGCTAATGTAAACAAACAAATAGTGAAATACTTGCAGTCCAGACTGAATATAGTGATCAAATTGTTAGTACATGCCGGTAATTACACCCTCTATCGGATTCCGCAAAAATACCTGAAACACGGAGATCTACGCTTTGGCGGTCCAGCGTTGCGATACCAAACACGGAGATCTCCGTGTTTGGCGGGCAGAGTGTTAACTGTTGACACCCTGTAGAGTTCTGTCCACAACAATTAAATTTTATGTGACAAATTTGTGTGATGTGTCCATATATGGGCATGATGATGAGTGGAGTTGAATAGCTCAGTGGTTAAGATGCTTGCCTTATGATCCCAAGGTCCTGGGTTCAATTTCCGTCACGGCAGGATTTTTTCTCACGACAAAAACAACTCCACTCACTAAGCCTCTTAAAGAGCCTGATAAAAGCATCACATTTTTTCATTTATTGAAAGAGGACCCCTGAATATCAGCCGACCTACGCTGGAAAAGGTCACCCTCTATGAATATGGTAAAAAAAAATTTTTTAAAATTAAAAAATATTATTTTCCAATATGGGCACATCACAATTTTTTTCACATAAAATTTGAATGTGGACAGAAATTAACATTGTACAATCAGATAAAAATAACTAGAGTATAACTGTATTAAATACAAATTATGATTCACTCATCAGGGACAATTGCAAAACTGTAATCCTACCATATAATCCCATGTTCTTGGCGAAGGATTGCGCCAACATCAGTTGGTGTCCATCCTGTAAGAATAATCTAAGAGCGTACGCATCTCTGTCAATGTCACCACTCGCAAAACCTTGGTACGCCATATCGAAGAAGGGGTAAAGTTTCTTCTTCTGCAGATAACAATAAACAGTTTTATTAGATTTGTTTTTATTAAGAATATTTTTTTTTTGCAAATGGGCCGGGTCAAGGGTCACTAGTAGTGGAAAAAGTAGCTTGGTGGTTAGGATGACTGCCTTCCAGTTCTAGGGTCCTGGGTTAAACTCCTGCATCATCAACTTTTATTTTTTAACAACTAAAGGCTATTCCACTCGCAAGCTTTACTGAGAGACTTAGTTTGAGCTCTTTGAAACCTAGTTTGCAAAGTAGAAGAACAGTAGATATCAACTGAGCTGGCTACCCAGTATAAAGATAACTTTTATTGCTGCATCATAAAACAGCAGGCCTAGACTAAGACACAATTCTTCCTGCTCTAATCTATTTATGAGGAAGATTATTTATAAATTCTACTGCAGTTTTTGTAATGGATCAGTCGACATGAATTATTTGACTATCTTAATTCTACTCTCTAAACCATCAGTTATTTGGTATTGATGTTCCTTTAATTTAATGTCAACATGAGGTGCTATATTATTCTCAAATTATTATTACATCATTATATTATTATATAATTATAATTACATACTATTATAAATTTATAATAATAATCAGTAAGCGCATGCAGCTGTTAACCAAAAGGTTGGTGGTTCATTACTATTATTTTAGTATTTTATAATTTAGTAGTACAGTAGCATCTCTCAATTACGTACCCCTCCATCCCAACAGAGTTCGTAAATGAGAAAATTCTTATTTCAGAGTTAAAATTTTTATAGCATCTTTGGTAAGGGTAGGCCTAGGCCTATGCTACGAAGTACAGGGCTAGGTAGGCCTAATCTTTACCATGCGAGCAAACTTTTTTGTCACGAAATTTGACTTTACAGAAGCCAAAACTACCTTTGCTTTATATTGTGAAGTATTCCTTTGAAGTGATTTCCAAATGAAAACATGACCATATAATGGCTAAAAAGAGTGTTATTATTCTCTTCATAAAGATCAAGAATGCATGTGAATAGCGCCCCCAATGAACAGAAAGTGAGATTTACTGTACAGTATGCCTGCACAAGCATGCACAGCTCAAATGTAATATATCTCGGCCGCGAATGATTGATATTTCTTGCTTTAAATTTAGTTTTGTGTCGCTTTATTGTCTAAATGTTTTATTTCTTAGCTGAGGAAACATTTTATATTATTTTTGAAGACTTTTCAAAATAAAATTTTTAAGTGTTTTTGTAGTTGAAAACGATCGTTCGTATTGATGTCATCGCTGCACATTCGTAAAATTGAGAGTTTGTAAATAGGAGGTTCGCAATTGGGAGATGTTACTGATATTAGTACTTTTATTATCAATTATGGTACCTTGATGAGATGGCTCAGTTCTTTCCAGTCTTCAGGCTGAAAAAAAATATTTTTTTAAAATAAAAATAATGTACTATTACTTTGTCTTGGTCTAGTAAATCATAAGTGTCATCATCATCTTCCTTGTCATCGTCATTTATCATCATTATTCCCATCATCAACATCACTATCATCCTCGTTGTTGGCACAATTGCCTTCAGCGGTGTCATTGCCCTCACCACCACCATTGTTTGTTGTCTCTGCCGCTGCCGCCGATGTCATCATCATCATCATTCTCATCCTCTTCATTATCATCATCCTTCTTTTTCTCCTCCTCCTCATCATCATTATTACAATTTAAAATTAATTAGTTTGTCTTTGAGCTACTAAATCATAGGTGGTGTTATCATCATCTTCCTTGTCTGCTTTGTCATCATCATCATCATCATCATCATCATCATCATCATCATCATCATTCTCATCCTCGCCATCATCTTCATCATTCTCATCCTCCTCTTCATCATCATTATCATTATCACCATTAATACAGTATTTAAGCAAAGTTTAGCTCACCTTGGGGTCAACACCTGTTGGGTTGTGTGCACATGCATGCAGAAGAATGATAGATCCTTCAGGAATTTTCTATAAAAGTGTAAAGTAAGTGATTGGTACATCAAATACAGGTATGATGAGAGACTAAGCTTATAAAATATTGAATACATGGCAGTGATGGTAAACATTAGCTACTGAAGTAGCTCTCATGATTTAAAAAAAGAATGCTGGCTTCATTTGTGATGTGGGAATTTCTTTACTTATTCACCAACATATTTTTTAAAATTTTGACAGTGTATAGAGCGGTAATAGCATAATAATATGGACCTTTCTAATACTGTTTCTAAGCTCCCAGAGACATGCATGTTTGACGCCCTTTCCAATGTAAGGAACAAATGTGCTTACTAGGTCTATCTTCGCGAGGTGATGATTAGTGGGGCTAACTTGACGGCCAAGTGATGGTCATTATTTTAAGTAATTTCTTCCATATTGTATAATTACTTGAAATCTCTTGCAAATCAGCAATTTTGCTGCTATTGAGATGTTGCATAAAATGAAGTTCAAAAATTTGAAATTGTTGGAGGTAGACAACTAGAAACTCACTGATATATCCTCCAGGCAGCCAGCCTTGTCAAAACCGCATGTGCTCTTGTCATAATACCGGTAGGCTCCGAGTTGTAAACCAGCATGGCTAAAAATAATTCAAAGAAGCACCAAAGATGCTATCAACATCAATTTTATGGAAAATGTTGTCAGCTGTAGAAATAAAGCAAGCAAACTTGTTTGGAATCACATGATTGAAATAGAAACATCCTTTAAAAACAAGTAGGGTGGTAGGGTTGACTAAAATATTCATTTTAAACCATCACCAATCGCCACTAGATTGCTAGCTAGCTATTGTGTCATCAGAATGAGAATTAATGCGCTATATAAAACTACACACATAATCCTCTTATAAACTATAAAGGTCTATAGATTTTTAAGTGGTAGAGTTGTTTATTCATTTTCTAGGCATACTAAACCAAGAATTTCCAATAATGGAATCTGTCTCGCAATACATAGTCAAGATGCTCTACAAAAATTGTCATGAGGCAATAGCCGGACACTCGCTACATTGCACGACCGCCGTACAACGAATCCAAACCCTTTCGCTTTGAGCGCTAAACGATGAAAAGGTGTGTCTTCTGATTATCGTTGGCATTCTGAACGGATCGTCATTTTAAAAAAATCCATTGCGTGTGCGTGTCCTGGCACTTTGTTCTCCATGTAATTGCGTTCGCCGACGAGTGCGGAGTGAGTGATTACAATATTATTGATCATGGGAAAAAAATCCTGTAATATTGACTGGATTTGAACCCTGTAATATTGACTGGATTTGAACCCTGGACCCTGGAATATGAAAGCAAGAATCTGCACCACGAATCTAAAACTCCATTTGCGGTAACAGAAGACATGCGTCTGAACAAAGAGTACAGAACAGCAAGAGGTCCGACTACCTGATTTTGTATGCATGCAATGGAACGTTAACAAAAAAGTACCACGAGATGGGGGCGCCTTATTAGAATTCGAATAGAGTTTGCTCAAAACTCGTTTTTTAGGGACATGCACAATCATGGCAGTACTTTTTGAAATAGGATGATCATTCCAACGAGACCACGAGAGCCGGACCTCTTGCAGTTCCATACTCCTTGATCTTAAAGAGCACCACTAGGGTAAAGAATTTGTTTTCTTTTCAAACTTAATGATTAAATAAATAATTTAATTAATTAATTCACATAATAATGCGGAAAATGGCTACATGTACACTCGGCAGGTGGAAAACGGTGCCGCGAGCACCCCTACTAGGGTTGGATATGTGCGCCTAACAAAATGACATTATTATTATTATTATTAATATTAGACAGACTCCTAGCGCTGCATGATGAACTGGGTCCTAGTTGCAGCTGCAAGATGACAAAGATGCTTTTTTAACAAGCTGTTGTGACAGTCAAGTACAGTACATGGTAACACTGTAACTAAATGTAACTACTGTAGCCTACAGGACATCAACAGTCAATTGCAAGTTGGGATGCTCAGAATGTTTACATATCAACGTACAGTAGGAGGATGAATTATTTACTGGTCGTAGGTTCTGTAAACCCATTTATGTGACTAGGAGCTTTTACTTACTTGAAAATAGGTGTGTGGTTGCCCCATGATGGTGTTGGAAGAAAAACTTGTTTATTTCCAGGGTAATACCTCTGAAGGAAGTTGGCTCCGATGCGAAGAGATCCTGTACCGGATATTCCTTGAGAAGTTATATTCTGCAAATGAGTTTGTCAATTCATTTGAATAATAGAATTACATCCAATCTAATTGGTCACTTGTACCCTTGGGCAAGGTACTTTATCTACACTGTCTCTTTCCACCCAAGAGTATAAGTGGGTATCAGGCAGGATCTGATCATGCCACTTATCAAAATTGTGCTCCCCAAGGAACTAAGGATGTGTTCCACAGGTGCTTTATAAAGTCAAAGGGAGTAATAATATAAAGCGCATAAAGTCATTCTATTGCAATATGTGCTATATAAATGTTACAATTTTACTATTATAATCAGAATTACGAAATAGATTAGTGTAACAATAGCCACCGCCTTATAGTAGCCATTTTATTTTATCACTTTACTGTACCAGGTTTCTAGAAACTGTTTCACTGTTATCGCCAAACGCCAGAATGGCAGCCGCCTTGGTGAAGTCTGCTAGACCTGTGATTGGCAAGTATTCCTTGTCATGACTGGCAGCCATCATGATCTCCTCAGCCTGGTGGAAAAAAAAACAAATTAAAATTAACTCCAATATCATGTTTATTTTTTACTTAACATGTTCTGTTTGATTTCACTTACATGCATACAGTACTTTTTATTGCATGATTTTTAAACCAGGCTCCAGAGGAAAACAATGTTATACAACTGATTTTTCTCAGACAAAAAAACATATTTGATGAAAAACTGGAAAAGGTTATTGAGATAGAGATTTTGGAATATTTAATAACTGGGGGAATGGGGTGGCTATGCCCCTATACCCCCAGTTTCCAAATATTAAAAATCTTTATCTAATTAACTGTTCCAAAATTTTTCGTCAAATATCTTTTTGTTTGTTGTTTTTTGAAAAATCAGACAACTCAAATGTTTTTTTTTCTCTTCATTTTATCAAATTGTTATTATTCTTTGGACTTGCTTTCTTTCCTTAGTTGCAATAACACTAAAGTTCTTTTCTATGTGTGATGCACTTGGACAAAACTACAGAAAAAGCATTAACAAATACCTTCCTGACACTGGGAAGAACAAAAGGTTTTCCTTCATCAGATCTGTAGGCACCAACACCCAGGTTCATTTTCTGTGGATTGCTGTCACGTTTGAAGGCTTCAGTCACACCAAGGATGGCATCTGGTGGACCCATTTCTACCCCAGACCACCAAGAGCTTCATGGAAAGAAAAAAAAAATACATCAGCACATCATTTGTGCTCTCTCTGGACAGCCTATGGCCGACTTGGTCCATGATTGTGCACTTGTATAGTGCATTTAAAATTAGTCTCTTTGCGCTTTCTTTCAGGACAACAGAAAAGAACTACATCATAATAAATGGTTGTAATGGAATTGAAAGAAAAACTACACGCAAAAAAAAAGTGAAAATGAAAAATAATCAGGAAAGTGAAAATGAAAAATAATTTTAAAAAAAACAGGTAGAATAGAGGAAATTTAGAGATTGTCAGGTAAGAAAGATTTAAGACAGTGCTTAAAGATCATTAAAATTAGGAGATTTTTGGACAGATTATCGTATTTGTGAATTCCAGTGCTCGGGTCTAAGACTAAGAGGACCTCTCTCCGTAGGTTTTCAAAAAATGACAAGACTTAGGCACAAGAATGGTTGTAGAAAATGTAGTGGACCTTAATGTTCATAAATTTTGCTGAATGGAGTGATGATGAGCTATGAGATATAATGAGCGGAGTGGTAGGAGATTAGACCTATTATTAACCGTTGGTCTATACTTGACACATTAATTTGAAATTTCGACCCTGAATTTGGCAAAAAATTGATCACTGTTCCAACAATTTTAGAGAAATCTGAGGTGTTTAAATGCCATATTTGGTTGTGTAACAGGAAATCCTAGGTCTAGTGTTGCATTTTGATGTACAGTATGATTTGCTTCTCAACGATTTTTAATTTTTTTTTCTTTCAATTTTTTTATATATCTTGTCCTTTTTTATTTTAGTTGTCAATTTATACATGCTGTTTTCATATATCATATTTTTAACTTTTGTTAATTCATATGCAATTCAGCCATATGTTACAATTGCATTTTGCTGGAAGTGTGAATAAGTATACCTCAATGTATGTCATCATCATGCTTTTTTTTTTTAAGTTTTTTTAGAAAAATTGTTTAAAGAAAGACCCCCAAAAATAAGACCCTAAAAAAAAATAACCATCAACCCCCTACCCCTACTGCATATCACCTACCTACCTACCCACCGCCTCCCAACTTTCCCCACAACAACAATGCATAGCCACATGACCCCGACAATTCTACTTTCCAATGATATTATTATTAACCTGTCATGCTGGTCACACAGCTACCCATCAACAGAAGAATAAATAGTAAAATACAGTATTATAAAAAGTGCAAATCCATTAAAATGTGCACGAGCTACCCTGAACAGTTTGCAAACTCCTTCCTAGCTAGCAGAGTTTGCACAGAATCTTGCACTGACTCAGTCTTCAAATTGTGCTAAGTTTTCAAATTGTGCAAGGCAGGCTTGCACAATTTGCAAATAATTGTACAAAAGTCTTAACCTGTCTGTGCATGAACAGGCTAGGCTAGCCTAAGCTGGCTTTATTTAGCCCGGCCGCTGCTGCAACAGTAGGCCTACCTAGCTAGGCTGGTAGTAGAAGTTAGTACTACCACTGGCAGTACTAACTTCTACTACTACTTACTAGGGCCTAGCTAGGTAGGGCAGGGAGCTGGTACTACTCTACACTGTGATGTAGGCCTAGGCCTAGGCCCTCCTAGAGTATATTAGTACTAGGTAGTGGGCGCTAATACGGTTTCGCATACCTTGCTCTCGATGCTGCGGGGACGAAACGAATTACATTATCCCTGAAAAGATTTCCAACAGAGAAAAGAGCCATAATTTTTGCAGACCAGCCTGTATGAGGGTAGAACCTTCTGTTCGAGAAGCAGCGATCACGTTCACGACACGACTTCCCCGCGCGGTGTGTGTATGGTATCGTCCAGGTTTCTCTCTTTCGTCCTCCAATCAAGATCGTCACAGAAGCCTAAGTTAGTTGCACGATGGCCGGGTAGATAACACTGACAAGGTTTGACAGAAAAATGTTTCGTTTACGTTTCAATCTTTCGTATATATAGAGTCAATTGTACTGAACTCCGTGTCAAAGGTAAAAGAAATGGCCGCCTCCATGCGATTGCAAATTCTTGGGATTCTCCACTCGACTAGAAATATCAAGCCATTTTACAACGATGTTAGGATTAAATTTAATCGAAAATTATCATCTCAAAGTCATAACTATTGTCTGAATATATTAAGGTAAAGAATTGATTATGATTTTGCATGGAGTTGAGTGGAAAGGCAAAACGTTACAATGGCGCACGCACACACACACACAATGCCCCCCCCCCCCACCTTTCAAACCAGATTTTCGCCCTTGTCTGCATTCGATAGATAGGGAGGTCTGCCGCCTAGCCTAGGTTGGTTCAAACGGGTACATTTACGACTTTCATGAGGTAGAGGTAGCCTAGAATGTGTTCCTGCCATGGAGGTAAAATATAATTTCATCTCAATCTTGACAACAAAAAAGAATGGAGTGGAAAGCAAAAAGAAAGAAAGAAGAGAAAGAGAAAGTAATATAGGCCAGTGGTGGCGCCAGAGGGGAGCAGATAAGTTTTGTTGGGGAACAAACAAATAAAAAAAAATATTTACATGTACTAATCGTTTAGCCACCATATTGTTTGTATTAACTTTTCATCACAACAACAATAACAATAATAATAATAATAATAATAATAATTCAATGAGACTAATTAAAAATAATTTGCATTCTGTTATGACAAATGCTCATTTAGATAGCCTCATGATAGTTGGAATATTGTGATAGGTGAAGCAACCTCGACCATGAAAGCATGGTTGACTTCATGCAAAATTTCCAAAATATAGAATTTCACTTAATTAGATATGGTTACATTGCATACTCTTTGTTTCTTGTTTCATTCAACAAAATGTTTTGGTTTTGGTTTTAGAAAGCATAGCCTACATGAAGTCATATCCTCGATGCCTATCAAATAAGTAATAAAAATTCGCCATAATTCATCAAATACCTGTGGCTTCCAGGCGGCTTTGCCTCCTGGACCCCTAGCCCTACTGGGGGCCTTAGGCGGCCCCCTCGCCCCACCCAAGTGAGACTTGATTTCCATTTCCTCCGCAAGGCCCCCCCCCCGTCGGGGCCTTTAGTTCCTCCATCGGGCAGGTCCTGGCGCCCTACTTGTTCTTTGGTCACTGGTGTATGCAGGTAACGATCTGACTAGCCTGATGAAACAGTATGGAAGGGGTCGTTCAAATATTTATCAACATTTTGACAAGCGTGCCAACAGTACTCTTTTTCGGTACCCCTCCCTCCCCTCTGATATTATACAAAATAATGTGGATTTTTCAAAACCATTCTCCATTTTTTTGTGAAGTCAGCTAAAGCAATGTACTTGGTTGCTTAAAAATTAATATTATATATCCCTTGTTACATTACAATTTTACTATTATTTTACATATTGCATTTTATTTTGAATTAACATTTATATATCATGTAAAAGTGTGCACATTTTTCTACACCCTCCCCCATAGCGTACTGATTGTACACTTGTGAACATTTTTTATAATGTTGAACAACCCCTAAAAGAGTTTGTTATTGAGTTTGCTTATTACTTCATTATCATTGTAACATTATAAATGTGTTGATTTAATTTACCAATGTGTTTTGAGGTACGATAACATATGCTATAGTATCTCGGTTAAATGATAAAAACATTCGCCATCACCAAAACAGCGTACAGTATGAGTATGGTAATGGTATTCCTAGAAACTGCCTTATATTTAATGTTTGCTTCCATCAAACTTCACAATGTATGATCTAATAAGGTACATCAGCTCTTAGAATTAATTAATATTCTCTTACTTATTTTTCAGGAAACATGATTATGAGAATTATTTATGTTTATTACTACTACCCAGCCAGGCACTAGCACCAGCGGTAGCTGTACGAGCATTCAATGCAGAAATAGCAGGCATCCGAGATAACGTCTCTGAACGGATGATTGGACAAATGCGATTCCGGTTTTGGAAAGATGCTTTAGAGAATATATACAAAGTAAATTGCAGTAAAATAACGTAGAGGAATTAAAATATTGTACACCTGCCAACCCTCATGCATTATACGAGTCTCAAGCAGAGTATCCAGTTTTTACTTCTCACTCCTATGTTATATTATCTCACGCATCATAGAGATGTTTATAGAAGATATAATGTATAGGCTGATTACCGGTATAACGTATTCGCGTGGACAAGCACCCCATTTGAATAAGCGCCCGTCTCAAATAAGAGCTCCTACTAGCGTGAAAATTTTCTTAAGCACCCTGTTTGAATAAGTGCCCCCTTAATTTTGAATGTCATGAGCCGCATTTTAGACGATTATCTGCTCTAGAAACATTCATTTATCTTTGGTTTCCAGATGTCCTTCATTTTCTTTTTTCATTAAAAAAGCGCCCCTTGAATTTCCAAGGTTCCCATAAGCATTCTCCCGATTTCCATCTACCTCAATACTGACCGACGACTGTGACATTGAGGGTGCTGTAATTCATGATTATTACAAAGAGGGGATTTATATATCCTCCATCTGTGGAACTCCCTTTCTGGGCCCCCTCTATTTCGATTTCTTAGATCCGTCACTCTTTGTAATGTTAATGTTATAGTTAGGCCTGCTGTGTTATGCCCGAGAAGAGGATTTTACCCCAGTATGAAACCACACTCGCACAGTACAGTATTCCATAGTTTTTTTTTTTCTTAGTTTTTTTTTTTTTTTTCAAAATCATGTTCCATCACTATGTATTACTTTATTCTTGAACTTTCAACTGATTCCTTTCCAGGGAAGACCACCAGACCATCCTATTGCTACAGAACTACACAGGGCTGTTGGCTCACATAAACTGTCTAAAAGGTGGTTGAGTAGGCTGCTAGAGGCAAGGGTAAGTAGTAATGGTTATAACAAGCATTTCAGCTCCCATATATTCATTCTTTCATTCATTTCACATTTATTCAATCAGTGAAAAAAAGAAACAGTACAAGAATCCATCAACTTTGATCAAGCTTAGAAGCTGAGCTTGTCTCAGCTTGATCCGGATGAGACACAAATCATATTCACGAAATAAATAAATATATCAATGAACAAATGAACAAAGAATTAAAACAACAATTAAAAATTTACAATAAAGAACAAAAGTGAAAAAGTAATAAATAAATAAATATAAAATAAAAGTAATAAATATATACAAATGAGTACACATTCTCCAGATCGTGGTGCCTCATGAGCATTACATATTTTGTCCAGCGTGCTTTGTGGTGTTCAACTTTCATTATGGTTTTAGTTTGGTCTACCTTCCGGCTTGGTTTTTTTTTTCGCTTTGATATTAACCGTTTCAGAAATTTAACTTTCCCAGTTGGTACCTGTATCTCTTAAATCTTAGTAGACTTAGTTTTAAACTTGAAAGGAGTCATTCTGTGTGTGTAGAGTTGTCCTGCACTAATTTATTACCATAGAAAAAATATTTAAAAAATCTTAAGAACAATAGGGCATTCATTTCTCCATTAAATGCAGAAACATTTCTATTAATTACATTAACATAATTCTAATGTTTATGATCAGAATTGTTTAGTTGCACTTAGGCTAGGTTAAGATTGAAACTGTTCCGAGCTGTTTATGTGCTGAGGTGGTCTGAGTTGTTAGTTGGTACAGGTTGATTGAGATTCTTGTCCGAGCTGGAATTAGCTGAGTTAGCATTGGTTAGAGATGGAGTGCCATAAAATTAGTGGAAAACTTCAAGGCTAGGTGGATCTGCCCACCATAACTACATCCCTATAATGAGTTTTCTTTTATAGTGAAACTAACTTATTTACAAATAAGCAAACAAAATCTTGTTTGTCGTAATCACATCTTATAAAAACACTTGGGTGTTTTATTTTTCTTTATATGAACATTGCACCTTTTAATTCATTTCATTTCCATTGTAATATTTTCATCATAAAAAATACATAAAAATTGTTTTTGCTCAGATACACTATTAATTACATAAAAATATAAAACTAATCAGCAAAAAACATACCAACAGATTCAGTCATATCCCTCGATACGATATGATACCGTAAATTAGGGTTAAGTGCCTGAATGGCACTTGTTTGTTTGTACGAGTAGTGATAGAGGGATGTGTGTGCCACTACGTAAAACTTCAAAGAGAGAATGCGAAGGATGAATATATCTTGCACCTTTTGCATCATACCTATAAGGGTTCGAATTTTTTCCATCAGGAAATAGGTACTGTGGGATATGGCTTTACTACTGCAATTTATTCCTCTACAGCAATCATCAACAGTTTTTATTGTTTTTTTCTGCATAGTTTTTATGGATGCCTAGGCCTGGGTTAGGTAATTTGACAGCAAAAAGATTGCTGTAGCGCTTGGGACTTACCACTGCAGTGGAAGGCTCTTTCTACATTAATAATGGTTGGTGCTGTCGGGAAATACAAACCCTAGGTAGTAGGCCTATAATAATAGTCAAACTCCTCCCTGGTTAATCAAATCAACATGAATATAACAAACTAACAATTAGTTATTTCTTCCATTCATCTAAGGTATGTGCAGGCTCTGAACTTTTCTGTTTTGATCATGTGAACAATTGCTCCATATATTTTAAAATACTCTAGCAGATCCTTTATGGTAGCCTAAATATTCTCAGCAATTTTAAGGGCCATTGAAGTGCTCCTGTATCCATTTTATCTGTTTAGTAATCATTTTATTAATTTTTTTAAGGAAGAAAGCATCGATGATAAAGCATTTCAAACTCTTGAAGCAGCTGAGCAACATGCGGAGAACACGGCGTCATCCACTCTATACCTCATCTTAGAATCATTAGGTAAGAAAAATAATGAGCTACTGTAATTACCAAATATAATATGTGGCAAAGACAAACCAAACCAGTCACTCGTCGCAAAAATCGATTTTGAGTTATTAATACAGTGTTATAGAGTAAAATAATAGCTATAAAATGGTAAAAAAATCTTCCTTATGAAGTTACAAGCGTTTAAACACACAGCTGTTTAAAGAACTATATATGAGAAATCAGCCTTCAAAGTTTATGATTTCAGGCATTACCTCATCTTAGAATCATTAGGTAAGAAAAATAATGAGCTACTGTAATTACCAAATATAATATTCTTAATTCATTAATAATAATAATAATAATAATAATAATAATAAAATCATTTATATAGTGCTCTTCCAAAAAATGATCAAAGCGCTGAACAGTATAAACTTATGTACAATTAAAACACCTATAGGAAATAAATATGACTTAAGTGATTTTTCAAAACCTGTAACTCACTGCAAGTCGGACTCATGTTGGAAGCACATTCCAAAACACAGGGCCAAACTTTAAAAAAGGCACGGTCACCTGACACCTGCTTCACCATAGAATCATGCAATAAGTTAGCATCCCTTTCAGATCTAAGCCCATTCTTTAACATTCATGAAGCCTAATCAAATTCTAAAGATACTCTGATACAACCCGACAAGACAGACACATGATCTACAGTAGTACCTTCAATTGGATTCTTTACTCGATCGGAAGCCAATGGAGATTGTTTAAAAGATAGGTTCTGCACTATTCACTCAGTTATTTGATTGGTGAATTTCTGTGGTGCCTCTTTAAAATTTAATATTTTAATATGTATTTCAATTTGTGTGTTTTCTGAAATCTCTTGTTCTCTCTCTTGCATTTACATTTTATCTTTTGCTTATGCTATTTTCCCGCAGTTTTCCAGTATTTGCCTTTTAGTTTACAAATACATTTGTATGTGTGAGGTGAATAGCTTGGTGGTTAAGATGTTAGCATTCCAATCGCAGGGTCCTTGATTCAATTTCTGTGACAGCTGAATTTATTTTCTTGACTAAAAACAACTCTAATATTTTCTTATCTTTACATAATTATAATTCAGTTTTTTCAATGGATTTATTCATTCATTCAGGTGTCCAAAACCTACATGCTGACCATGCAGCGAGCCATGTAGGCCGCGCTCAAGGCCTGGCAACGTTGATACGATCTGTACCATTTCACGCAAGAAGACGTAATGTCCTCCTTCCTATGGATGTAACCAGCAAGGTAACCATCATGGTGCCCAAAAATAATATTTGAGGCTGTCTGGTCTATCAATGTTTTCTTTTTTTTTCCTCCCAAAGGTGGGGGGACTGGGGCCAGGCCACCCCCCCCCCCAAATCTGTCCCTGACCTGTGTCATCTAATGTAAACTTATTTATGAAGCGAGAACTTCTTAATGGGATATTTTAGGGTTTTTCAGATTCTCCACTGACAGGATATATTTAGCATTTTTTATTCATAATTTATACTATATAATTTATGTTATGTAGGTTGATAGATGAAATAATTTCTCTGTAATAATCTTGATTAAATGTTTACATTTTTTTTAAAGCATAAAGTTTCTCATGAAGATATATTTCGAGGCAAAATAGATCAACGTGTAAAAGATGTAATTTTTGAAATTGCTAGTAGAGCTAACATGCATCTTGAAACGGTAAGTATTTCTAAAACAAGTAATGTATTATTTTTAAAGCATTAACAGGTTGGTGGACAGGGTCCTCTTAGGGTTCATGTTCATACCTGTCTAAACATACTGTACCGCTCTATTGAATTACACGTAAACCAATGTGAACTCTTGCTGTGGAGGTTCAGGGAAGAACCCGGAAGTAATGATCTAAAAAAAAAAATACTGTATGTTTTTTAATGGGAAGATTTTCATTATGGTGTTTCCCTTTGGGATGAAACTAGAAAAAAAGGCTTGGCAGTCAACATGTTTCTTTGTCAAGAATACATATTTTGGAGTACAACAGGATCAACCTTTGTGTTACACTTACAGCATAAATTTTGACTAATTTTTCCCTCATTTTTTTTTTTCAAGGCACGATCATTTCGCCAGGATGTTCCAAAGGAAGCTTTTCCGTTATTATTAGTCACACGGCCGTTACAGGACTTTGTTGATGCAATACAAAAAGCAGACTTTAACGCATTTGATCCAAAATTACAGAAAAGAAACTACATGCTACCTCTAAGACTCTGGCTCCAACAAATGAGGAGGACGTATTAACAGTAGCAGGGGCGTAGCTAGGATTTTTGGCACCCCTTAGCAGCTGGGAGGTTCTAAGCTTGCGAAGTTTGTAATTAACATGACCGTAAAATACTCCTAACGTATCTACTCCGTATCATTTTTACTTATAGACTTGAGTACTATTCAGCAAAATATGCTTCTTAGGTCTCATTAAAAAAAAAAAAAACTTCAAATTAGCAGCTCTATATAATTTTTGTCTGGATTCATTTTGGCACCGCCTCAGTTCAGCGCTCTAGACGTGTGACCTATTCTACAACACTGTTTATGCCTCTGAGTACAAGCAAAGCATTTAATAAAGATGGTAACTTGCCAGGTGCCAATTTACTCTTTGTTTAAGACACATGCCTTGCCCAAAGAACTCAACTGCCAGACTCAAATGTCAAGACTTACTTTTTTGAGTGCAGAAAAACACTGTACGTATTTTGTCTGTGAAGCATCTTGGATGCTATCCAGATTTCTCTTGGCAATGTTGGCTCAACATACTATTGAGTTAAGAGGATGTTAAAAATGGATCTACTACCCCCAGTTTTACTAGGTGGAGAGGGATTTATATGAATTAATTGTTGAATAAACAAAATGGAACCAGTATTTTTTTTATTTTTTTTGCAAGCCAGGCATATTTTATTGATATAAAAAGAGATTTGTAACATAGTTCTATATATACAGTAAATTAATATTGAACCAACACATTCATATTGCACCTTGTTTTTTTCATCTGAAATGTAATTGTGGCAAAGACAAGCCAAGCCAGTCACTCCTCGCAAAAAATAAATGATTAATGCAGGGTTAAGTTATAAAATGGTAAAAGAACCATTTAAATCCAACATTTTGTTGTGAACTTACAAGCGTTTAAAGACCAGTATATTGCGAAATCAGCCCGCAGCGATCATCAAATTGTTGAAAAATGTTGTTTTAACATCAAAAATTGGGAAAATATTAACAGCATGATATATAAAATGCAATAAAATGGATTTCAAAAATGTTGACATTCCAACATGTTTTGGCAATGATCTCCAAAACACAATTTGTAATAAGTGACTAGTTTGCCTTCTCTTTGCCACAATTGTTATTGAAACTAAGAAGATTCATATTTTTAAAAGAAGTTTTATATAATTCATTAAAGGCATGTGGGTTCTTGTTTATATTTATCCCCATGACACAGTGTTCAAGAAAAATTATTGGGCACATTTAATACCTCTGAAACACTGAGATGGAATTGGGTTTTTTTTTTTTTATTTCTTTGTAACATTCTACAGTATTTCAGGTGTAAATTACCAGCTTGATTATAAATAAAAACCATTTAAACTCACGGATATTTTGTTGACAATCATGATTCAAAACAATTTCGATTATGCTTTGACATGTACTATGTTTTGAACTTTCTTGTGGTATTCCATCTATTATTATGGCAAGTAGTCTCCGTCATTTGACCTCACCAGCCAGCAGAGCTATCGATCAATAAATTTTACTGCGCATTTGAGAACAATCTAGCTTGTGCAGAGAATGCAAGAATATCACAGATAAGCAAATCTGTTTTACGTTCACATAGTTGTGTTCATATTTGGCAACATATGATTCACTAAGTTATGGCAAGTGTTCTTGGATGTTAATGTACTAGTTAGCAGGGTCACCAGTGTATGTTAACTTTCAGTGGCGGATTCAAGGGGGCCCAGTTGGCCTAGGCCCCACCCTACATTTTTCAAAATTACAATATAAAAAAAAATAATTATAATATTCAATAACCAAATCAAAAATTATCTTTGCTCAACCCCAACCACATTGAAGCTGAGGTGCTGTAGACTCGCTGTCTGTGAAAGTCCCTACCTGATCCCCCCTCTATTTCAAATTCCTGGATCTGCCACTGATTTTTTTTTCATGGGAATGGGGTTCTTCGACAATACTTAGTCAGCAGGACCACCGGCATTCCCAATCATATTGTCTTCACTAATTAATAATTCCATGGGATCAAACGGTTTATATGGTCGCCTGTGTTGTCCACAATACCTCCGGTAATACCTCATCTCGTCGTTTTCCTCATTCTCGTCGCTATCGCTCTGTGTTTTTATCTCAATGAACTCGTCAGGCCGGACCATGTCCATCATGGCATAGCGCCACGTCCAGTCCTGAGCGATCCTGTTAAACTCATCACGGTTGTTTTCATATAAAGCACCGATTGCAGGTTCCATGCACACATTGGTAAAGGGATCAGTGAGCAATGACTGTACACTAATGAGCACCTATGAAAATAATAACTGAATTTAAATATTACTGAAATTATTTTAAAAACAAATACTGTATATGTAGTACATATTCCCACACTGTAGTAAAAATTGTGTACACAGTACTAGCTACAGAATGTACATTCAGGGGCTAAGGTGTTTGATAGGTGGGTATGTAAATTTCCAATTGAAGCCAGCGGGACCCAATTACCACCAGAATGACCCCACTAAAAGTAAGTCTTTAAACTTTCGTTGATTATCCTTGATGTTCACACACTGAATAAATCTAATCCAATCCAACTAATACCTCAACCATCTACAGTTAAACTTGCCTAAGTCGGCTTTGATGAACTCAAATAATTTCTAAGTCAAACTTATTTTACATGCCAGATTGTTGTGTTTTCCATTAATTGTAAGTCAAATTTTATCTAAGTCGAACAATTTTGGTATTGGTATTTTGGATTTGACTGGGGCAAGTTCAACTGTACTAGAAACCAAGGAAAGCAGAACCCAATGACTTTATGGTTCAGAACACACAATGGACATGATGTGGCACTAAATTTACTGGTCTGTACACAATGTGCTAAGACATGACTGAATACCTTAAATGCTTGAATTAGTGCCGCGGCACTTGTACAATTTTTGGAGGCTTCAGTGCAGTGCTAATTCGAGAGTGGAGCTTGTAAAAAAATATTTGGAATGCCGCTTTCCATGCCTGTTTCCATGTTACCTATCTCGCGCATTCCTGTAGTTCAGTAGGCCTATCATAGGTCCTACATATTTGTAAATATACGTTTATAAAGCGCTTGTGTCTTCATTGTGTTATTTATTCATTTTAACACTATACATTGTATTTTCAAAGTGTTTCATTACACACAGTGTAATATATACTCTCCATTAAGCGCCACAGCACTTATTCGAGAGCAGCACTTAGCTAAAAAAATAGTCTGGTTTGTTGCAGGCTTATTCGAGCATTTACGGGTACTCCCCCAGGAGCGGAGTAGATTGCATGCTGTGCATGGTTCAGGTTGCAAAATAATTGATCTAGTCAACAGGGATAAAAATTATAAATACTTATACATTCTGTAGAAGCGCCTTTCACAAACTCTATAAAACAATTCAAGCATAGCGCCTTTTAAAAAATGTAGAACCTATTAAAGCATAGCACTTTCATGAACCATAGAAGCGCTTAAATTATATCGCTTTTCAGAACTGTAAAAAAAGTATTAAAGCGTAGCGCCGTCTCAAACTGAAGAAAGTAAGTTTATTGTTCAATACCCGTGGGTCACTAGATCCATTCACAACAAGCAATTTCCTCTGTCCCTGGGGATTATTTATAGCATTATGACTATCAACAGTTTAGCCAATTGTAATATTACTTTTCAAATTTGCACTAAAATCTCCCATCTATAGTATGAAATACTGTACATTGTATAATTAACAATGCATCAAAATGACAGTACAAAGTATAGCCATAGAATATAACAATATGCCGGTACTAAAGCCAGTGAAGTTGAGTAAACTATTCTAAAATGTTCAGGAACACATTCAAAAAATAGACCTATAGAATATTTTAAAAAAGACCTACCCTTACTTTTAGATAAACTAATTATTATTTGGGCAAGGTAGATTCAAGGAGGATGGCCCTTGAAGTTTGTGAACATTTTATTTTAATAAGGAAATGATAGGAAAAAAAGACTAGAAAGTGCCATCTATTTGGGAGGTTGTCTAAACCCTCCATTGGTAAAGTCCCTCTCTGGTCTATAAATTCCTCAATCTGTCATTGTTGAGTAAGGTTTCTAATATAAAAAAAGACATCTCACTCACCCAACCCCCCCACCCACTCCCCTGAAAAATGAATGTTACCTTTGTTATTGTCAGAGCCAAACTCCAGTTATGATGCAGAGAATCGATGCCAACATCACCATGGCGACTGATGTTTGGATGAAATATTTTCGTCATAAAATGCACAATTGGTGGTCTAATAGGATAGCTTTCAGTTGAATTGAAAAATAAAATTGTTGAATATATTAACAATTTTAAGATGAATTTATTAATTATTTTTTGAGATATTATAAAATGCAATATTAAAATATCAGTAGCAAGCAGACAACTCCTAAAGCTCTAGCCACATGAATACACCATATATGGGTATGATAGGATATCATCATGCTATATATGGATAGGATGACATCATCCTCGCCATATATGGATGTAATCCACATACAAGGGCAATCTACACAAATTTATCACATACAACTTTGGGCAGAGCCTGACATCAATGAGATTTTTTATAAATATACAAAAATTAATGTTTATGAGTGCAATGGGAAGAATATTTTCATGAGTTGAAAGACTGACTGTTCCATTCGATGAAGCGGAGCCGAGTCGAATGGAACAATCTTTCAATGAATGAAAATGTTCTTTTTTCCATTGTGCAAATAAAAAAACATTCATTTAATTGTTTTATAACACACCTAAAATAGATTCTTGTCATTTGATATTTTATTAAAGTATCTATCTTTTTTTTTTTAAATAGAGATCTTGTCATTTGATATTTTATGAAAAAAATCTAGCATTTTTGTAAATAGATCAGTCCAGCGTCTTTTTAAACAATCAAAGGATTGTATTTGGTTGAAGTCATATCATATCCTAGGCGCCGTACAGTACCGATGAGTGACGAAATGGGGTAAATAACCAAGGTCACGTGATACACAATCCACCGATCACATGACAATGATCTATTTACGTGTTATAATTCAAATTATCTAATGTTCTAATAGTCTAAATGACTTATTTATTTTAAATTTGTGCTAATTTATTTAATCATCGTAAAAGAAAACAAAGGTAAAAAATATATTTTTATTCCGAGAGTTTTTGGGTGAGGAGGTTATAGTAATACAAACGATGTTTTTACCCTACCTGATGTGTTGTCGTAT